TGTGTGTGGTGGTGGTGGTGTGGTGTGTGTGTGTGTGTGTGTGTACTTAAATATATATATATAGTATAGACATAAACACAACATGAGCCCCACATTATGTTCCCCTTTGTGCAGGCGTAGTATTTGTTCATGAATGCTATGTATAGAATTTTTTTTATGCTACGTATCTACAGAAATTCCTTTCAATACCCTCTCTCCCGTGTGAGTACACGTGTGTGTATTGTGTTTGCAATGTATGAACGTATATCCCATATCGTATAACGAATTAGAAAATATATATATTCCGGGAAAATGTGGTGGCTGTACCTTTATCCGTAGCTTTACGTTTACAGTGAGACACAGACTGTGTGTTAATATATAGTATAATTCCATGTATCTACACTTACTAACATGTACATGCCTATACCGTACCCAGTTAACAGTAAAACTATCATATGCTGCCATGACCCTGCACATACTACCATGTTTTTACACCTGCTAACTTGTACCTACACATATTATCATCTACCTACTACCCAGTTAACAGTAAAACTATCATATGCTGCCATGACCCTGCACATACTACCATGTACCTACGCTTGCTAACTTGTACCTACACATATTACCATCTACCTACACTTTCTAACATCTACCTGCATTTCCTAACATCTACCTACACCTCCTCCCATATACCTACACTCTTTAACACGCACTTGACTGTACCGCACACAGTGTACTGTGATAATGCGCATACTCTGCGCAATAGCCTGACGGCTGAGAAGTATCTCGGGGCGCTGGTGCGGCTGATGAAGAAAAACTCTGACCGCGAGAAGGATTCTAAGGTGTGTGTATGAACAAGTGTAAGTGTGTATATGTGTACTGTATAAGGAATGAACGTGTAATGTATGAGGCGTGTGTACGTACAAGTGTATGTGTATGTGTATTATACAATGTGTGTATACGTACAAATGTATGTGTGTTTGTAATACATAAGTTGGGTGTTTACACATGGTCACATATAAATATACATATTCGTATACACATGCATGTATATCTGTACATGCTTTTATACTGACTTGAATTGGTGTATGCGCTGTATTACAGATTGTTGCCATGGCAACCCAAGCGACGGGCAACACGCTCCAGGTGTTCAAAGAATGCGATTCACCCTACTTCGATCCTCTGCTGAAGTTGGTGAAGACTAGAACCAAACTGTAAGCGTCGCCATATGTCTATATAATTGAAAGTGATATAGTCCCATCTGTTCAGATATGTGTGATTAGTTTATAGGTTGTGTGTGTGTGTAAGTATTTAAAATCGGCATATATATATATATATATATGTGTGTGTGTGTGTGTGTGTGTGTGTGTGTGTGTGTGTGTGTGTGTGTGTGTGTGTGTGTGTGTGTGTGTGTGTGTGTGTGTA